AAATGTTTGGTCAGAATTCCTAATTTTTCTGTAATTTCTCAAGTAGTACAAGTAAATAAATGTTCAGACAGTCTTTTGTAATTACATCAGTAGTACGAGTAAATGCCCCCCAAGTGAAAATGAAACGTTGGCAAAATCTAGCAAACTATCGGACAAATCTTTAGTCAAGGTGACTTTGACTTTACCCTGAAACGACCTTCAAACGACCTAGACTTGACCTTCAAATGACCTTGACTTAAAATTCAAACGACCTTGAATAACCTTGACTTGACCTTCAATTGACCTTGAATGACTTTGACTTCACACTGACTTGACTTGAATAAACTTTAAATTTTATCAGTAGTACAAGTAAATATTTAGTCAGACTTGTAATTCTTGTGATTTTATAAGTAGTACGATTAAGTAGAACACTAAAGAAATGTATGGAGAAACAGCAGTAGTACCAGTAAATATTTAGTCAGACTATCTAAATTTTTGTAATTTTACAAATAGTACAAGTAAACGTTTAGTCAGACACTCTTAATTTTTTTATTTCATCAGTAGTAAAGGTAAATGTTTGATCAGACTTTGTAAAAAATCATTAGTACAAGTAAACGTTTAGTCAGGCACTTCTAATTTTCGTTATTTCATCAGTAGTGCAAGTAAATGTTTGGTCATACATATTTTTTCATTTTGTAAGTAATAAAAGTAAATATTTTGTCAGACAATTGTAATTTTGTAATTTCCTCAGTAGTATAACTAAACGTTTGGTCAGATTTTAGTAGAAAAAAATATATCTTATCAGTAGTACAAGAAAACGTTTAGTCAGATATTTCCAATTTTTCTAATTTCATCAGTAGTAAAAGTAAATGTTTGTTCAGACTTCAATAATTTTTATAATACCACATTCTAAAAGAAGAAAAATAAAATTTCAAAAAAGTTAAATTCCCTATAATGAAAATTGCCTATTTTCTGCGATTAAAAAATTTATTTGTACAAATAAATAATTAATCATATATATGCGGTAAATATTGATCTTAACGAAAAGTAAAAAAAAATCTAATTTTCTCGTTAAAAAAAAAATGAAATATTTATTTTCTCAAAGAGAAGAAGATATATGCACCTATAAAAGTTGTCCTTTCATTAAATTTTTTTTATTTATTTATTAAAAAAATATAGCAAATACACGACATATAGATATATATAAACAATTTAATAAAGAAATTGTTATGTTTGTCGCATATTTTTCAATTTTCCATTTTATCGAAACCGGAAAAAAAAACCTCCCGTTCTAAATTGCATTTTATATATCCGGAACGCGAATTATATTGAGATATCAAAATATTGAAAAATATGCTGACACAAAGCATATACACGCGAACCGGCGTTTGTGGCAAGAACGCGAGTTTGTTTAAAATACACTAGTGTGACCCTCATCGAAATTGAATATACATATATATGTATTTATTTAGTAAATAGTACTGATCGTGTTCTGATGCGTACAAAAGTAACGTCTCACTGTATATATTGTTCTCTCTTTCTCTCTCATTTTTTTTTTTTTTTTTTTTTTTATTTTTTATCACGATCGATATTTATTACGGTATTTTATTCACGCGGCGCAATTCTCATCCACGGGAGAGAGAAATGAATTAGAGGGGACACATTTTTGCCCTCGATGTCTCGACATTGCAGGATTTGACTTTTGGACGGGTTCGTTAACGGTCGATGACGATGCCATTTCAACGAGGGTGGGTTAATTTTAAAATGAGCAGATTAGGGAATCGTTCGCTTCTTTCTCCTCTTTCCTCTCTTGCCTTTTTTTTTCTTTTTCTTTTCTTTCTTTTTTTTTTTTTTTTTTTTGGTCTCCCCCTTTTTACCACCGCCTCTTTTTTTTCCCAACCTCGAGACCGAGTCACGTCGCGCCTCGATGGAAAATTAAAAAACGAACAACTTCCCGTCATACGGTTTGCTGCTCATACGTAATTATCGGACATTTCCCCTCTTGAGTTCGACAGGTCGACCTCCCACTTCTTTTTTGTCAGAATCAATTTTTATTTCACCTCTCCAACCAACCTTTATTTTATTTTACTTTCCTTATTATATTCTATATAGCTTTTACTTTACACCTTGTCGCTTGCCCCAGATACGATAGATGAAATCGAGGTTTGAAAGGCTCTTTTAAAAAAAAAAAGCCAACCATATTGAAAAAGCCTTTTACTGTTTTTTTTTCCAACTTTTTTCCACCTCCCCCCCCCCTTTTTTTTAACAATGTGCACTCAACATTTTTCTCTGTTCTCTAATAATATATTTATAGAATTATATAAATAAATAAAATCTCGAATCTATTAAAATATATAAAATCTCCATTAAATTAATGGAAATGTCAATTTTTTTGAAAAATATAGAGCTTTTAAAATATAAATAATTAAATGAAAATTATTTATATATGTATGTATGAAATGGGTGGAAAAGTATTTCATTATCAAAAATGTTTGCAGTTTTCTGACGTTTTAATTATTGCTGACTGGCACAAAGCGTATATACCAGAAGCAAAAGTAAACTATGCATGAAATAAAGCGGCGTTGAAGAATTGTGTGTAGGACTACATAATTAGCCATATAAACTGCATTTGCTAAATTCCAAGCTTGGTTAAAAGGCTGGAACGATTTAATGATTGTATACCCAGAACACTAAACCAGAAACTGCGTTTTATTAGTATATTATATATATATTTTAATTTATATTTGCAATTTACTTTTTACAACACTATATATTTTACCTGCCTTCTACACAATGTAAGAAAATTTTTTTTTTTAATATTTTAATTCTTACAAATGTAACTAATTTTAAAGTCCCCTGACTTTGACAAAAAAAAATTATGTCAACATTGGATTTAAGTTAATGTAATTAAAATTTTTTTAAAAATTACAAAATAAACATTGCATATAACAGAAATGTTTACATTACGTTTATGTTTACCTATATAAACAATTTTACAGAATTAAATGTAAATATCAGGAGAAATCTGAAAAATTTCAATTCCCTATTATTTTTAAATATTGTTTATTTTATTCAAGCAAATTTTGTTTCAATATTTTTCGAACAACAAAAAATTGCAAACCGCAAATGTATTATTATACCATTTTTTTTTTGTTTTGTTATACATTACGTTTTTTGTAACACATTAATTTAAAAGTATCAAATTGATACCAAAAATATCAAATTGATATACAAAATTTGTATCAATTTAATATTTTCAGTATCAATTTGGTTCAAGTAACTGATTATTTGAATCAAATAATTTTTTTATCAGTGTAAAGAAAAATTTAAAAAATTTGTACTAAATATAATTCTTTTTTAGACAATTATCATTTATCAAATAAACATTTAATAGAAGTTCATTCTAAACGAATTTTCAATTAATAAATTCTTTAGTTATCGAATTTGTCTTTGGCAAAATTTTGGTTTTATTGCATTTCTCTTTACACAATTTTTTATTTAAAATAATTCGTCGTTATTAAAATTCTATCAAATAACAAAATCGGATAAATAAAAATTCGGACATTTCTCCGAATTCGGTAACTTTTAAATAAAAAATTAAAGAAAAATTTTGTTAAATAAAAATTCGATACCAAATTTTTTTTGTTAATAAAAATTTATTAAGAAATAAATTCTATTATAAATCGAAAAATGAATATCTATTTTTGTTTCGAAAAAATTATTTTTCTTTACAATGAAAATTCTCTACATTGATTTTTTATGAGAAATTCAATATTATTTTTTAAAAAAAATGTCCCATTTAATTAAAATTATATACAACTATATGACGAGGAGTTATTATTATAAATAATGAACAATATATCTTTTTCCATTGTGTGACAGTTTATTATATTGACTGGCATGCGTCAATATCGTGTCATTAATTACTGAGAGAGAGAGAAAGAGAGAGAGAGATTTCGAATGTTTTGACTTTTAAACAATCCCCATGATCGTCTATTTAGGTGAATCAAATAAAGTGGCAATGTATATACATACACAACACTGAATACACACACAAACACATACATGTAAATTTAAACTTAACGCAATGTGTGCTTTATGTATGTAAAATTGAATTACGGCTTAAGCCGTCGTTGCAGCCGTTACAGCAACCGCGCTAATTGATAATCGGGCCGCGGCTGGCTTTTCTCCCTTCCATCCAATCTGCCCCCCCCCCTCCACCCCCTTCCTACAAACCTTGTCCTACGCGGCACAAGGCTAATTGGCTGATCACGTTGTGATTTAAATGTGAAATTCCGTGAGTCGCAAATTAAAGCGAATTACGACCGATAAACTAATTAGTGAATAAAACCGATCGGGTGCGATCTGGTTGACGCTGTATGCATATATAGAGCACGCGCGCGCGCGACGCGAGTCATCGCCGATTGTTTCTAAAGCTCTGGGATTCGTCCTTCCTAAAGTCCGCCAGTTAGTCTCGTTATAAAGTCAATTTGTTGTATATTCCAGATACTAATTATGAGAGCATTCACGTTAATTAACGTGAAAAAATAAAAACAAATCCGAATCAGGGTTAATGAAATTGTTTCATTATTTCAATTAGTTTTTTTTATAATCGAAACGGGATTTTCATTTTCGAGAGATAAAAAAAAGGGAATAAAAGAGTGAAGTGCACACTTTATATCTGTACGATAAACAAAGGGAACTATTTCTAAATAATCACATAAAGTAATTATTAAAACAATGACTTTTGTTGTCTCATATAAATTTTCCAAACTTTTTACCGTTTGTAAAAGTTTATGAAATTACCAGGAATTTTTCATGATTAATTATAATATTTATATACGGAATGTAATATATAAAATAATTGAACCTGAATAAATAAAAAAAAAAAAAGTTCGACTTGTACTTTAGTAAATTCACGTATATCTCAGTATATACAGTGATTGGAAGGAACTTTTTTTTTACCGATATCAGTTATTCAAATATTGAAGAAAAGTAGCTTCAATTTATCATGTATTTACCTTGTTCTTCAGCAATGTCGTTAAAAGGGTGCCTTTTCCGTGTACACGTTGGAAGAATTTGCAAGTATCTGTAATAGAGAGAAAAAAAAATTAGATCTTTTTCAAACATGATTTTTATATAATAAATTAAAATTAGAATTAAAAACCAAAAATAAATTTAAAAAAACCTTTTTTACAATTATTTTTCTCATAAATGAATCATCGATATAAAATAAAAGAAGTTGGAATTATTCTCTTTCGACATTGAAGAGAGAGATAAAGGATCAAAATTTAATTTGCTCAAAACGTGTTTGCAGCAGGTGTGAAGGAAAACTGTATATATATAGTATCGGGTTTTCAAGCCCTTATATTTTCCGCTTACTATCGTATATCCGGCGCAAATAAGCGTGCACTCCGAATGTATAAAGTGGCCCTCTGATTCAAGTGTATTTTCAAGAAATAATTCAAGAATAATGAAACAAGTATATATCGATAAAAAAAAGAATTTAAAAATTAGAATTCAATAATCTCGAGGAATTTTAATTTGAAAAAAGAACTAAAAAATACGAAACGAAATAACTAGAATTCTTTGAATTATAGCTAAGAGCAAATAACTGTCCTAGCAGCTTATTGGCTATAATGCCCTGGGTTACAAGTAGACAACGCGTTTCTCAAAGAGAGTATCGCACGATCGATGAATCTCGTGTGTGTATTAGCAGATAAATAATCGACAATCTATATATCGATAAACATCGAGTTACAAGTACTGATCGATTGGCTGCTTTACTCTCCTATCAGCAGTTGATTTCATACCCTGGAAGTATGTATGCCATGCCAAATGCATTCTCGTGATCAAATTTCACAACACTCTACAATGAAAAGCCTTCATTATTGTATATTTCAAATTTACGATTAAATAATAATTTTTAAAAATAAAATCATTAAATATCTAAAGCCATCAAAATATTTATGCTCTTCGGGAAGATTCAAGGTATAATGCTTCAAAAGCATATTAATCACTAAATAATTGTTTAGCCAATAAGTTTGAAAATACCCTAGAGAATTAAGTTCCTATAATAAATACATTGATTTATGTATATCTAAAATAAGTTTTTAATGATGAAAAGCAACAATTTCAGAATGACATTACTATTGCAGAACCACATGATTTATGACGTTCTGTTTAGCGGAATATGGAGAAAAAAAAAACAAGAGAAGTATAACATGTGACGTGTAATGAAAACAGTTGCACATCCCAATGCGCGGTATTTTGAAAACCCTCATTTCTATGTACGTGTCATATTTTTATGTCCGTTATCTCTTCTTTTTCTTTTTACAACATCATATTGAAACGCACAGGGAGGGAATTTCATCCCTCTACTGTACTATATAAAAAATGCATTATATTTAAGAAAGTCAATAGCAGTAGAAATTTTATAACTTGGAAGAGATAATATATCCTGAAGTGTAAACAAGAAACATGTTTTTTTTTATAAAGCATAAAAAAGGGTCCTTATTGCACAAAAAAAAAAAAATTAAGTATTTGATTTTTTTTCCCCCTGTGTGTATCATCACGAATCTGTAGTTGAGTAACAGGAAGATCTTTGCACACAGCATACAAATAAATAAAGCCAAAAGGAGGAGGTAGTCGCGTGACCAGGCGGTTCGGGCGCTGGGGCATAACGTGAGTCTGTGGATCGATTCAGCCGAGTCGAGTTGCGTCGCACCGAGTCGAGACTGCGTTACGGCAACAGGGGTGCGCAAACCGAGGATCAAAAATTCCGTATTTTTTTTTGTTTTTATTTTATTCAATCAGTTCCCTAATTCCTCAAAAAAAAAACCCCTTTTTTCAAATAATATACACCTCTCTTATCTCAACTGTAAATAATCCCCATTTTGATCGATTCAAAAAAAAGAGAGTATACAAATCTGATGAGAAGCAATTTGGGGTAATTAAGCGAACCTTGTTGCGTGGTAGGATTAGAACGGCTTTAATGAAGGAAGCATTATTCCTGATGTGAATTGTGAAACTGTCGCATATATTCGATGCCACACACATATACACGCGTATGATAATGGTGGGCTTTTCTCACCACGCCGAATGCTGCCTCCAGCGACATGTGAAGGGTTTCAAAGTTTAAACCAGAAATTCCTGGGATAAATTCATGCGCAAACAAATGGATTACATTTTTTTTTCTCCTTCCATCATTTGTAAGATGAAAAACAAATATACATTCTAATCAAATTCTCCTTTTTTTAGACAAAAAAAATGCTTTTGTATTATGTCAAGAGAAATTCTTGACAAACTCATTTAGAGAATTTCTGACGAGACTGATATTGCCATTGTATCCTTTGCTTTTCAAGTTGCATTTCTTTTCAGGGAGAGAGAGAAAAAGGAACCAAGTGCTAAAGCTGAGCATTATCTCCACCACACTTGTGCAATAGCGAACACCAGCCGCGTTGGAGACGCGTCTGTCACATGCAATAACGTAAGACAACGGAAGCTTTATGGCACAATGAACGGGGGAAGGAGGGACACGTTTCTACCCGTGCATCGTATACATTCCGTACAGCGGCCGCCATCGTGAGATGCATTGATATCTATACACTATAAATGCAACCCCAAAAGGATTCCCAAGATAATTCTGATCAAATTCTAATTCCCTAAGTATCAATACAAATAATAATTATTCCAAAATCAAAAATTAACGCAAGAAAATTATAAACAGCAAATTAGTTTGATTCAGGTTCATTTTGGAAACAAGTGAATTAATTCTTTGATCAATAGAATCTATTTATCACATTAGATTACAGTAACAGTACATCCCATTACCTAATACATACCGACAAAGCTCACCGATAAAGCTATGCGATATTCACTATCGTGAATTCCTATCTTCGTCAGCAACGGTGCCCACTTTCGCAATAGTCGCAGATGACGTTGCTTGTCCATTGTTCCAACAAAGCGATTAGGTGTGTTCTGCCCTTATCTAGGGGGTACTATTTCGAGTACAGGACAATGACGCCAACTCCTCAGGTCAACCCCTTTCTAAATTGATGTCAATACTGCGCGATTTAATAACAGATTCTCTTCTATAATACACCATATACCGAACAATACAGAAAAAAAATTTTCAACCATATATCAAATTCGAATACAAATTTCGGTTTTTATCTCCGACAATAGATTAATATTTCTTAAGGGATTTGAAAAATATAAAAAAGAAGCTGTTATATGAATTATGTACCTATATCTGTAAATCCGAAACGTATGGAGAAATTTTTAGAAAGTTTTGCAAGCCCACTCGTTTCTAATGGAGAATGAAACAATTTTCGTTTCGGGCGACGGGCTTATTATAATCCTCGCGTATATCTTGTCGTTGCGAACCCCCCCCCTCTCTCTCTCTCTCCCTCTCTCGCTTATACGTTTATTCCTCTATTCTCTTCGCCGTGACAGAACGGATTATCGTTTCGCCCCATCGAGGTGACCGAATTATCGTTTCGGGGTGGGAAACACATACAAGGGTGGTGTTGGACCTTTTGCCCAAACCAGGGATCATAAAACCCTTTTGCAATCGCTATTCCTGTGTACGATAAATTAACGGTGATCGTGTTTCGCGATACAATCAGCGACTCACATTTTCCGGATTTGATAACGTTCGAAAAATATATATTAAATATTCTAATATCGATAATGATGATTTAATAGAGTAACTAGTTAAATTTTCATTTTATATATTAGTTTGTCTTTATAATAGTTGGTAGTTAAATTTTTTACACTTCAATCGATAGCCGATCCACATGGTCACGTATTGCTGACTATACAATAACTCGCCAAGTGTGTCATGAAATTTGCAAACTACTTCCATTTCGGAATTTAGTGTCGAACCAAACCCCCTATGGAATTTATAACCTAAATGTGTGCAACGCTTTAAAGGAAGCTAATATATTTATGTATAACATCAAAACTAAAAAAAGACACATAATTCACATGTTCTATTGACTAGAAGAACTAATTCCTTAACCTTCCACCTCTACTTAACTTGATTGAGTGTTATTCATGATCGCTTCCTCTCTTGATATTAGAAACTAAATATAATTTTTTTTCAAACAGTAATTTATGAAAAAAGAAATAGAAATGGAAAAAAATGGTTTTTGGACCAAGATTCGAGTATTAGGTTAAGCTTTGCTCATATAGTAATGCACGTGTACTTGTAACAAGAAACGAGAGACATGGTTCGAGCAGCGGCGCATCACGTTAGTCCGAATCCTGCGGGATAAAACCAACCCCAATCCTCAACGTAGCCAACGCGAATCCTCCCGCCTCATCCATGTCTAGTCGGGCCAATCTCCACTTTCCTCTTTCTCTCTATCCCCCATTTTCCCTCCTTCTTCCAAACCCCCCTCAAAAACCTAGGTATCCTGACCCCATCTGACTAGACACCCCTCCAGCCACGAACAAACGCTCGGGGCTTAAGCTTCCTGAATATTTTATTTACTCACTGCTGCTTTTTCTACTACCACTACTACTACTACTATTCTCTTCTTTTCTTTCTTTCACAGTTACACCGCATACACTCTTTTCTTATTTCTACATCCTCGAGTGTTTGCTTTGCTGGCTTTTTTCCTTTCTCCTAATCGCGTGAATTTGTCTTAAACTGAACGAACTCTTGTTCAATGATTCAATTTCAGTGAATGCTTCCTGAAACAAGTTATACTGTATTCGACAAGCAAAAAAAGGGAACAAAATGGTTTTGGTCGAAAATATATTTGACAACCGGAAACGAATTTCACGAGAAAGAGTTTTTTCTATTTTTTAAATACTAAACAAAATTATAAAAAAAGGCCATCAATTTGGAAAATTGTAAATACAAATTAAAATACTATTTGAAATATACAAATTGTTACAATTATAGAAAATTCCAATTTGCCGAAAAAAAAATTCCACATTATCAGAATTCAATCAAATAAAAGTGCTTTTAAAATTTTCAAACGTAATTTTAATTCAATTCTATAAAAAAAAGGGGGATAATTGAAAGTCGATATGACCTGATTTTATAAAAAGCGTATATATTTTAAACTATCAAAG